ACAGGGAACTGCAGGCACTTGACACAGAATAAGCTCGTTTTAACTGAGGCTTATGCCAACACATTTTACTCAGAGCGCAACGCAGCCCTGTTGCTGACAATAATTCATTCATGCACAATAATTCGTCCTTTAGGAAACACCTCTCCCTGTTCCTGGACCTGCTCAGCGCATGCACCCAGGAACTCTCACTCATCCACTTCAGCTTTCCTGCCTGGCTGCCACCAGCCTCTTCTCCCCTGTCACCTGAAACACACCGGCAAATAGGATTTTTTCCTCACTTCTTCAGATCGGGATTAAGTCACTTTTGTTTCAGGGCAATGCTTCACTAAAAAAACAAACAAACAAACAGGAAAAAACAAAACAAAACAAAACAAAACAAAAAAAAAAAAAAACAAACAAACAAAAAAAAAAAACTTCCCACGGGGAAGACCCTACAAAAAGCTCAACTCTTTCCTTCCTGGCCCTTTGGACGCAAGCCAGCTGATCTGCACTTTGCCAAGTTGCTAGCGACTCATTTGGGTCCATCTTCCCTAAAAAGGAAGTCCAAAGGAAAAAACATTTATTTTAAAGACTGACATTTGCAGCAGATCAGCTTCCAAGCCTCCCCCCACCATTTTATTTTATTTTTTTTTTCTCTCATGCAAAAAAGCCACCAGTTACCAGCGGATCTGTGTGCTGCACCTCCCTGTCCTGAGGCATCCAAAAGCAAGAACAGGCAGTTCCCTTGCGCTGGGTTTGCCCGATGTATCTCCCTCTGCTTTCACACTCTCTAGGAGACACGCACAGCCCAAAGAACAGGATCTCCGACTCCTGCCTTCCCCTCCTGGATGTGTTTTCAACTGTAAACAGCCTCCACAGAGCCGGATGGCCTGGAGGTCTCTCTGCTGCCGAGAGGAGGGTTCCCCATCTCCCATCTGCGCAGCCGAGGGTGGAGACAGGTTTCCACCCGACACCTTATCGATTTCCTGCGGGAAGCTCGGCAGCCTCACCCAAAGCTGAAGCCTTTTCACCATTTAAACCACTTCTGGTATAGAAGTTGGCAACTGGAACAGCTTTTCTGTGCAGCAAGTTCCCCACCACCATAAATGCTGCTATAGGCTTGTTGATCCTATGCTAGCTTGCAAGATACGCCCCTGCTCCTGTACTTGTGCCTTATTTCCTCTGTTTGCGAAAGGAGAGAGCTTGCTAATCCCCCTTTGCCCACGTCAGAGTCCTAATGCTCTCCCCGGGCTTCCACCACAACTCGATAATCCTGGCTCACCCCTAGCCATAAGCACAGCTCCCTTCGGTTGTAAGGAGAATTGGGTTTGGATTTTTTGGATGTCTGGGGGGGGATGGAGAAGGGCAAGACTCACTGTAGGCTCCTCTCAGTGCCCACCTGTACGCTGCCACACGTCAGTGCTCCCAGGAGCATCCCCAGAAGCACAGGGAGGAGATACATCAGTAAAATGTGCTTTGGGGCCAGGAAAAAGAGGAGCAGTTACCGCATGCGAGGACCGAAGTGCACAAGCAAAGATCCATTGGGTCTCTGGCTGTGCCTAGCTCAGGTCTCTGAAATCAATTCCCCAGTCACAGCTTCGTTTCCCATCTTCCGCTGCCACTTCTCTCCCCAACGCCAACTCTCTCCACTGTGTCTCCTTCCATGCTCTGATTTGAACCCCAGCTGGAGCTTCAAGCATACCACACCCCTCTCACCTTCTTGCACTGTGCAACAACTGTGATAACCCCAGGCTTGTGACAACACCGAGGCCGTTAAACCGACCCTCCTTGGGCAGGCAGTTTGCTCTGTCCTTCACGGGCAGCACTGCGCACTGCTACAGCCCTGCGCAGGTTCTGCTTCGGCAAAAGCTTCATCAATATTTAAAGATGAAGCCAGGAAGCCCGTAGCCCAAGCAGCTTTCAAGCCCCCGATCAGATCAATGTCAAACAAAAGGCTGCAGTATGAGGATGCTCCGGCGAGCCAGGCCCAGACCGCAGGCTGGCACCGTCACCTCTCCGTTCCAACGCCGATCGAGTTTCTCTGCTCTGGCCCCGGCGGGCTGGGACGGCTCCAGTGCCAGCCCATCACCTGGAGCTGCTCATAGCACACACCGAAAGCAGCCCCAGAGTGCAGAGTTTCCTCCTACCAGAGCATTTTCAGTTTCCAGCCAACTTCAGAAATCGGTGCTGCTACAATCCCCTTCGCCGGCTTTGAATATTGCTTTAACGCCAGCCACTTAAGAACAAAACATCTGAGGCTCAAACCATGGGGTCATCGGTTCCAGCATCCCGACTCAGAGCAGATGCTCCAGAGCAGCAAGAAAACCATAATGCACTTAGCTAGTTTGACACTGCACGGGAGCAGGAGATCTTATTTCCCTTAGCTATAAATGTAACCGATCACAAGATTATCCGCAGCCCTTTTGCAGTTCAGCCGCGCTGCTGGGCTCCCTGCAAGACTGAATTCAGTCCTAGCTTCTGAGACACCCACAAATGTACCAAAGTTGCCTCTTTTTAGCTGTCTTGGTTCTCTTGTATCACTTAACTATTATTCAGTTGCCAGAGAACGGATGGAAAAAATACCATATCAAGATAGAAACAACAAGATTTTAAAAAGAGAGGAATTACATCTGATGGCTAAAATCAGGAGTGAAACACCTTACCTGACCTCAAGCAATTTTGTTAAACTACTGTCTCCTTTTCCCTATCAATAAGATGGGGATAAATTTATGTCCCTCCCAGGGAAAGTGGTGGTGGGTAAAGGGATTTAAATCCCTCAGAAAGGACCTACAGAAGGGTAAGAGCATTCCTAGAGAGAAGCATGTATTGGAAATATCAGCAAATTAAGACTTTGCAAGCAATAGCGAGCAGGGGGACTTTGCTGGTTAATACCACTGTGGCTCTGGCAGTCATTTTCCCCCTCTCCTTCCTACAACCGACTGCACCAACTCGCTCCCCATTTCATCTCCTCCCAAGAGAAGGGCATACAGAGTGGGTTTGCCCCCACCGCATCAAATAACCAAGAGCTGGTGTCTGAGAGGATGCTCACACTCACACCCCGGGCTTCAGGGTATGGAGAAAGCACACAAATCCTCCGCGACAGTGCCAACGCTGAAAATCCATCTGCTCTCCATCCCCAGACAGAGACAGCAGGAATGGATACCAACATCTCCTCCATCCCTAAGGGAGATATATTAGCTGGTTACGTAATAAAACTAACAGCATGGCGCTTCCAAGGACTACTGCGCCGACAAAGCCTTCCCCTTAATACCACCGGAGATTAGAGCAAATCGAAGAAGGGTGGAAACAAGGCGAGGGGCTGCGGGCGAGGTTTTGCACAGAGGAAAATGCTGCAGTCTCTCCCCTTAATGCACTCTAAATGCCATCTGATTTCCAACTCTGCTGCTAAAAAAAAAAAAAAAAAAAAAGGGCAAGAAAAAAAAAAGAAGAAAAAAAAAAAAAAAAGCATCCCAGCCTGCATTAAAATGATATTAATGCTGGGTGAATGAGGTAGAGTGACTCAGGAAGGGTGTGGAGGAGGAGAGTTGTTTGGGGGAAGCATCCAGAGGAATCCAGACCACGAAAGCATTTTGGAAGCAGACCAAAAGGAGTCAGGGGTGCAGATCTGCTAAAGGACGCTAACGTGCTTTTACAAATCTGATTAGTTGCTGGTTTTGAGCATCCAGGGTCAGATCCTTCCGTTGATAAACACACATCACTTATCCCCCTCATGCCAGGCTGCCGGCAAAGCGGAATACAACACAACCCTACTCCTTCCCTCTCAGTATCAGATGCATTCCCAGCTGAGGACAGGGTTTTCACTTTATTTCTGCTCCCTCTTCAGGCTGGCTGACTCCACAGCAAGAGACATCGAGTCAAACACCCCGAACAAAATTACTCTTCCCTCCGCTGCCCTGTCAACTAAATATCGATGTTTTAAAACGAGAGCGCTCCCTATGAGATGAGGATTTTGATGGAAGTCAAACTCGAGGTCTCATCTAGCTAGATTTCTGCTTTACATGCAAAGTGACAAGGCAAGAGGTCATCGCTCTGCCACCCGACTGCACGCGCTCGTTCCCCCTTTGACAGAGTCCAAACAGCCCCATCCTCAAGGCAATGTTTCTTTACAACTTCACACTTTGCGTCCTTTTTGAGCTTATTTTGACGTACCTCCTTTTGTTAAATTGAAATAACCAGGGAGTTTCATCTCTGAACTGGGATAGTATGGGAAAGGCATCAGGCGGAAGTCCAGGGCAACTGGAGGCAGTGGACAAGCACCAACTAGACCCGTTCGTACATTCCAGTCTTGTCTCTTGAATCAGTTTCTGTGAACTTACTGTTTTACTCCCTACCAGCTTAGTTTGAGTAACTATGAAAGTCACCAGACTTGGCAGAAGAGACATCCAGATAATAGGTGAGAAACGCTACCGAGAATCCCTAGAACCAAGCGACTGACTACGGTGGCAAGATGGGAAACAAAGCAGGAGGCAAACAACCCGAGGCTGACCGCCAAGGGATGGCTGGAAGGTGCCACCCAAGCAGAAAAGAGACAGTTGCTCAAGAGCAGCCACCAAGCTTGCAAAATAGTCTTGAGAAAGGAAGGAAACGAGTGGATAATAAAACGTTGGTCATGCTCTCTGCCACTTCACAGGGATGTGTTTTGGAGACAAGTTTATTATGGCCACTGTCTAGTTGTGTTAGTTGACCAAGTCTGGTCCTCCCTGTGCTAGGCGCTGTACAGATGCAGTCAGGAGCAGTCTTCTCCCCCAAAACTAAGGCTAAATAGCAAGCTGGCAGAAGGAGGAAAAGAGCAGAGCCACCAGCTCTATGGCAGTATACAAGTGCTTAGTGCTCGCATTTTGTTCTGGGCTTTTAAGTCACAACCTTGTTAGTGACCATCTGCAGTGAGACACGACTATTTTACTAGCAAAAACTTGACATTTCAAGTAAAAGAGAGGAAAAATCCTAGCTAAGAGCAAAGGAAAAAAACAGACAAAGTGAAAACTTTCCAGCAGCCTTACCATTGGCATCTTGGACTCCAGTAAGTGCTCCTACTGCTGCTGCAGTTTCGCCAGACAGGACAATCTGTCCTCCACCCTGAAGAGTGGCTTCAGCAAGCGTGGCTACTGCGTGGGCAGCTGCTTCACTGCAGGCACAGGAAAGGAGAAAGAAGGATTAGAAAGACCAAATAAACAAATAACTCCAACTCCCGTAGCATCCATTTTAACCAGGCATTGTATGTCAAGAGAACAAATTCAGAAAGGAGGGATTTTTACTGGGCCCAGATTGTTATCCAGAGCAGAAAATCTACAGAGGAGGAGGAATATATGGGAAGAAGCTTCTTCCACTGGCTTTTTTCAGCTTGCATATCTCCTAGTCAGAACATCCCTGCCTTCTTACCTTCGCGTCCTTTTGCTTGAGACTCTACTAAAAGCTTTTGGACAACCCAAGTAAGTTTCTGGTACAAAACTCGTTCTTTTGACACTGTCACATTCCAGGTCTCTACAGATTTTAGCACTCTACCCTGCATTACTGATTCAGCCAGTTCACCTTGCGCTGAAACAGGCCTGGAGGTTTACCATTACCAGGATCACATCAGCAGCTCTGTATTTAGCCAAGATTGAGTACTTCTCCCCAGCCAAGTGGTTTAATAATTCTTTTTAATGAGTGATTGGTAGCCTAGCACAGTATTCTTAAATTTCTTCATATGAATGAGGTCAGACCAAAGGTCCCTCTTGTGCAGCAGCCCTGCTGTGAGAACAGCCAGTATCAGATATTTAGGAAGGAGTGTGTATGATCCTTCCCTTCCTACACCCTCTCAGCTTCCGACGGTTGGCAGCATATTGATTTCCTACATCAGAGACTGCATCTGGACCATCAGGTTTGATTTGCCTAATCCCCTTTGAAACCCATTTATACTTTTTGCTTCCACAACATCCTGTAGCAACGAGTTCCACATTTAATTAGATGCTGTGTGAAGAAAAATTGCATTCTGCTACTCCGAAAACTACTGCCTCGGTCTGGCTGGGCAGCACTTAAGTCTGATATTGTGAGAAACAGAAAATAACTGTTTCCTTTTGGTTTTCCTCATGATTTCATAGACTTCCAGTAATCTCTTTCCCAAATTGAAGAGCCGTAGTCCACTTCTTGTGCAAGGGCTCTTCCCAGCTTCTGATTACTCTTGTCCTTTCCAGACTTTTTCTCACGTCAGACATCTGTTTGAGGGGGGTGACCATTTCTCTCACACTACTCAAGATGTAGACCCACCATGAGTAAGTCCAGGGGCCTAATCCTGGCTTGTTCTCTACGCCTTTCCCTATAATTCCTAATATTCAATTTACTCTTTTGACAGTATCTGCGCAGCAGTGATGAAACACTGCTGGAGGACAGTCCCCTAAATGCTTTCTGAATGGTAACTGGTAGCACATAGCTCCTTGTTGGGGACATACAGGAGATATTTCTTTGTATGTGTATCACTTGGCATTTGTCGACATCGTATTTTATTTGCCATTTGGTTACGCTGTGAGCATCCTTCAGCAGCTGTCCAGATCTCGCCAGACCTGTCAGATGACTGTTCGTCACTTCTGGTGACCTACTGCTAGTCACAGAATTCCAAAGCCACCTCCTTCCTTCCTGCAGCTGAATCTCCTACCACTTCTCACCTTAATGAACTTGAAGTAGGTATTTTCTTTAGCTTCCCCTAGGATGCTCTTCCTTAACCGTCCTGTTCATTCTCTGCTAGACCAATTGACTCAAATATTTAGCAAGTACTTCCTACTCATTCTTTCTCTTTCCTAATTTCCTGCTTAGATGCTGTACACTTTCCAACTGTATTCATTCAGGGTGTATTTTAATTTCTCAGTAGTCCCTCTGTCTTTCAGAGTAGCTCTTAAGCACTGTTAGCAAACCAGAATATTTTCCTGTTCTGCTTTCTTACTCCCTTTGCCTAATGTCTCTTCTGAACCTGCAGCTAAGTGAAGACAGTTACACTGCAGGGAAGTCAACTACAACGCAGCAAACCTGGGCTAAGCACGCATTTACCAGTGTAACCCCATTTCCCAGGCTTCACGCAGCACTTAGTTGAATCCACTTTCAAGGGCAATTGAGCATTTTAATAATCTGCTACGGCTGCATCCCTGAAAATAATAATGATCTGCAGCATAAAAGCTTTTCCCAGTTACAGTGTGCTCCACGAACATTAATTGGTTCAGATCAATGAATTAATTACCCTCCTCCACTTTGTCCTCTTTTACTAGAAGGCCTAATACTTTCCATCCTCAAACCTGACAGAGGTTGTGTCATCCATCATGTCATGCCGTTGGCAGACGTACTGCTCTGTGTGGGACAATGAAAGACTCTGCACTATGTCAGCAGCCGTTGGAACAAGATTCAGGGATGGTGGTTTTCAGCTAAATGAGGCATAAAGTTTCCAGAGCTGGGATGGGCCACCAGTTTTCAAGGACCAGAGACTTGCTGAGACCTTCCTACAGGCAGTGGAAAGACTGCAGTCCTACAGCTGAAAGCTACAAGAAGCATTCCGTGGCAAAGGAAAAAGTACACCCCTTCCACATGGAAGGGTGTTGAAGAATAGACCACTAGAATGGTCACCGGCACCACCGTGGTCGGTAGACAAAGAGGGTGACAACAAACTGGGAAATAAAACATGAGGCCCCTCATTCCCACTGCAGTGCTGCTACAGCCTTCCCATCGCTCCTGAAGTACAAGCGGTTTGAAGTTTGAACAGAGTTATCACAGGGCCTTCCTGGGTATAAATGGAGCAGATCCTGCCTTGAGGCACAGCAGAGATTAAATGACTTGTTGAAGGCTCTTGCTCTTCCATTCATATTTTCTAGGAGACTCGCTTTAGTTCTAACAGCACTTCTTTTTATTAAGGATTCTGCATTTCTTACGCTAATGAAAGTAAAGGAACAGCTCATTGCAACCTTAAGAGCTAAAACTAGTAGCGATGGGATGAAATTAAAATCAAAAGCCCACTGATGCTCTAGTCCAGAAAAACTTCTAAAAAAACTCATACAAAAATCTATCGCCTGGCAATGTGCATGATAAAATCCTGTAAGTCAGATTCTAGAAGATGGGGTTTCTTCCCACAATGCCATGACTAGTTACTTTATCTGTTCTTCTTACAGTGCCCTAAAAAGATCACTTGTTTTTACAATGTAATTTTACAGTGAAGCTATTAGTAAAAAAGCCAACCTCGTACGGCAATGGAAAAGAACATATCTGATGGACCTGAATCTGGATCAGAAAGAGAAGAAACAGCTCTAGGCGTGCTCATGATTCAGTTGCAACAGGAGTTGGGAAGCAAGCTGTTGAATGCCCCCGAGATCGAGGTGACTGCTTTAGTAAATTTGTGTCTATAACAAGGCCTTGGAGCTTTACTCTGACCATCAGCAGTGTGGACTTACACCTTGTCCTAACGCACGGCTGCTCAGTCAGCAGCCTCTAGACCAGAACCTTGATTTGGATGAGGAAAATCTGTTGTCTACAACTCAGAAGTGTGAAACCTCCCACGCTGCTGGGGCTGACGCCGTGTTTTCTACGGTCCTCCTGCTCTCTTGAGGTGCAGCTGCGGTGTGCCGCAGCCATTTCCAGTTTGTAAGAACAGCAGGCAAAGCTTAAGCACCTCACCAGAGCTGAGCAAAGACACTTCTTCCTGCTGCATGGACCTGTAGAGAACTACGCTGCAGATCTTGGTAACCTGAGTACAATCAAAAAAAATCTAACAGCTTGTTCCAAGGGGAAGTGGCAGCATTACTATTGCAACTCTACTTCAGAAACTCATTTGGGAGAAACCCCCAAATCACTGGCCTCTGCAACAGACTGATTTCTGAAGAGAGACCATACTGCCACACAACAGGGAAATTCAGCTTTAGTCTTTTAGTAAGAAACCATTAATAATATTGAGGGAGACCCAGACCAGCACACTTAAGAGGTGCTATTAGCACATCATGACTCTTGCTTGCTTAGCAAGCTCAATGCTGTAACTAGGCCCTTGCTGTACAAAAGATCATTTAGAGGGTAGTACAGTTACTACCCATCTTTTCCTCTTTCAGGAAATTTCCATGTCAGTGTCCTTCTGCAGTTACAGTGGAAATCAGGAACTGTCTTGCAGGCACCTGGACGGAGACTGGCATAGGAATTTGTTGAAGAAAAACCTCTACTGAGACCGTACGCAGTGGTCTCTGCACCGTTAGAGTGAACACCTAGAAGGAAATGTCATGCATGCATGCTTCAAGCCTTCATCTCTCACCCATACCTGTTGAGTGCCATGGTAACAGTTGCTCCTTGTTGCATCTCCTGAGATGCTGCCACCGCTGCTTCTGCTAATGATGCCACTGCCTGCGTGGCCTCTGATGCCTGCGTCGTCTGGATAGTCATCTCACCCCCCTGTAGCGTTGCCCAGTTCTGCTCCACCTATGGGCAAAAACAAAAAAGAAAGGCCCTCGGATAGGATGTTATCCCATGAATGCACAGCTTCCTCCTAAAGTGAAAGAGCCAGATAGTTTCAAGAGGTTTTTGCAGAACCCTGCACATGCTCTGACTCTAAGAGACAGGGAAAAAAGGGAGAAAGTCTGGGATCCACCTGAGAACATTGCTGGACCCTACAACTCTCTATCAGCCATGAGTGAGTTTCTCTAGTCAGCCCATGATTTTAGTTGCTGTTCTCTGTACGTCCAAACAAGAACCTTAGTTTTCTCACGCACGTGGAAAGCGCACCCCATAAACATCTGCGAAGCCCCTCAACCTCCCACAAATCCCTCTTGTCCAGCCACGTCCGCAACAACGCGGAACAGTGTTGATCGTTGCTGTACTTGGATCACTGCCTGCCAGCATGGGCAGTTCATTAAGTTGCTTTATTTCTGTGGTGCTGGAAGCCCGGCGTGGATCACATACCCCCAGGAAATGGGCTGCACTTGCCTCACTGTTTTGATTTCTCTGTCCCCGTCCGCTGTAATTTTGGGAAAGAGTCCACGCTCCCCTTCAGGATTTATTGGTACAGCACTTGTGAACTCGGATGGGTTTGAGGCAACTGGAATTTCTTTGTGTTGCAGCAATATACTTAATAAAAGAAGATGGCAGATGGAAAGTACTCTGTTCATATATGTCAGGTACTTTCAACTCCCTTACTTCAGACCTTTACATAGATAGGTTTCATATTACTTAAAGTTCACCCAGTCTCGGTTGCTCATTTTCCTCCTTGCCCAGGTTTCTCCGTTTGGGACTTCACAGCTCATGAGTAAATGAGTTTAAGGCCACAAAATCCACCAGGATGGGAACTAGAAATAGGCATTGGACCAAAAAGCCTATGGAAGTGGAGGATGAAGGCCCATCAGCTGAGAAATCCTACTGGTTGCTTTGCGAGATGAAGATCTACCCCCACCCTCCCATCACTGCTCTCCTCCCCATAAACATTTCAGGCCACTCACCATCTTGCTGAGACTCAAATAAGAACGCCGTAGATGGTGAGGAAAAAAAAGCCCTCAATGTGTTAAGATGGAGAAAGCTAATAAGTCCACAGAAGCAGAGCTGGCACGAGGCTCCCCACAAAAAGGACAAGTAAATTTTGCTGCCTTTGGGGCAAGAAAAGGGTTAGTCCCATCACAGGATGGAGAGGGAGAGAGAAGCTGTCGCGCTCTCACTCACATCTGCTATCACACACTCCTCAGCAGCTGACAATCTCGTTTTCCAGCACTTGGGCGCAGGCAAAATTGGCACTCGTTGTAGCTCTTTAGCCATCCCCAGCCGTCTGACGTTCAAGGCAACTGCTTCATTCTCCTGTGCCCAGAGCTGACCCTGGGCGGAAGGATCCAAAGCATGGAGGAAGCAGTGAGATAGTGCATTGCGAAAAGGAGAAAGGAAGTTGATTTTAGAGAAGGCAACGTCTTTTAGGAAAGATGCAACCAGGTTTGAGTGTCCAGAGAGGAAGAAGTTGCAGATGGCAGAGGTCTTGAGAGAGTCGGATTGAGTTTGTGGTGCTTTTTAGCCATGCCAAAACCGAACTGAAGCAAGCCCGAGCTGGGAAAGACACCCTTCCCACCACCATGCAGAAGAGGAACAGACATACATTTTTTTCAAATACATGGTAACACACATTGGAGTGATAAGGCAGGTCCCCACTGTGACATACAGGGCCCCACAAAGATGCCTAAGTTGTTTCAGACGTGGATGGAGTAAGGCCTGGAAAACACGTGGGGACTGTCCAGGCCCTTCTCCACACTAACGTGAAGGTTGTGCTGCTCAGATACTGGCGAACATCCCTGCTCCGCTCTACTCAGTGTCGTATAAATACATCAGCTTACTTGGAGCTAACTCAGATCTTCACACAGCAAGGGACAGCAGGACAAACACATCCCCAGAGAGGCTGCCAGCAGGCTGTGGATCTATCTGTGCAGAGAAACAGCACCCATTCCTCAAAGCAAGTTTACTTTCGTATCTTTATTTTGTCCAAGATATCACTTAGACATCCTGTTCACTTAGGAATTAAATGCCCGTGCTCCCCTGATTTCTATTTGTGCCTTTGAAAAATTTCTTTCAGATCTTAAGAGATAGGACGGGTTCTTGAAACCCCTCCAAAGCAGCTGCAAAGTGCTTCAAGGTCACGGCCCCAGAGCTGGGCTGTTTCCCTGTGGGTCTGAGATGGGAGCAGGGTCTGGTGCAGAGCAAAGCTGTTCTGTGCTGCCATCTGTCGCTGTGACAGCCCTGGCCACGCCGCTCCTGCGCACAGACTGTCCCGCCAGAAATTCTGGCGTGCCAAGGGGCAGAAAGCAACCTGCAGCTTGGTTTAAAGGTGGGTTTGGGGGGTGAAGAGGGTTAAACAAAAAAAAAAAAAAAAAAACCAAAACCAAACAAACAAAAAAAAGAACAACAAAGTCTTCATAATCTTAAAGGAATGTTCCTTAAACACACATACAAAAAAAAAAAAATCTTTATTACTCAATTAAAAAGTGGCAAAATCGATGCATGCAAATTTAAGTGTTCAGATTTAGGAATTGCAATGGCCTGAACGAGCCCTCGACAGAAACAACTCTGCCAAGCTGTAAAGCAGTGGAAGAAATGTTCACAGTAAACTGAACAGTAACTCCACAGTATCTCCTGTTGTCTCTACACTACTGTGCATTTACATAGCGCTCTCTGGGATTTCCTTGCAAACCACCCTAAAAGCTGCAGCAAAGGAACAGTCCCAGTTTGTCCAGAGATCAGTGGCTGAAGACTCAGGATTTGCCCACAGCCATGCAATATCCTTTGCTCACCACAGGCTCGAAATATCCCAGGCATCACTCCCAACCCTGACCTGACAAACTAGCATCCAGGGTCTACAGCACACACGAAAAGGTTAATCAAGATGAATACACAAATGTGTACTTGTGTATGTCATTATGTCTCTGTCTGCTACAGCAGATCTCACAAAATAATCTATAGGAGATACCAAAGAAAACGTATGAAATTCAAAACGGAGGCTTCCATCATCATTGTGTTTGTACAGTCCTGTGTCAAAATTACAACAGTTCAGCACTTGCTAGAGAAAATTCTATAGAGTCTCGTGTTCACATCTATGTTCGCCCTTAACACTGCAGGGTGGGGAAGCAAGACTTGGTGTTTTCCGTGACCACTTCATTCCAGAAAATATTTAACTTAATCGAAGGTCTGATAGGACAATTCTGGTTTGTGCGCCGTGAGCATGATCCAGGTCCTTACCTCTCCATCAGTCACTGCAGAATAATTGACTTGTGCGACGGTAACTGTGGTGGGCAACTCTGAGGCATCGGCCAGCGTGGCAACTGTTGCACCAGTGCCAACCTACGGAAGTCAACAAAATGCAGTTGAACACACTTGTTATTGCAGGAGGATGCCCGCATAATTCAGGCAAAGGGACGCTCAAATACTCTCGGATTAAAAAGCATTGCACCCACGGGGAATAATAGTAATTGCAGAGCTCACAGAAAATAGAGGAAATCACATGCAGGAGGAGCCACGTTAATCTGTGGCAGCTTCCAGAGCGGGCATGACCCAGCAGCAAGTTTTGCACAGCCCTCATGCTGTCCCCTACGTTCACACCTCTCATCTCCAGGCACTTGGCAAACATTAGCTCATCCTCAACACGCCACTGCCTCTGGCAATTGCCTTTTCCCCATTTAACAGCTGGGAAAAGACAAAGGCAGGGAGAAGTGCAGCTTTGTTTCTAAGGAGAATTAAACCTATAAATGCCAGAAAGTCAATGGGATCTCAGGTGCCCACCACCTAAAGGAACACTAGTCAAAGGGAAAATGTACATTAGCAGGTGAGCAAAGAGAACCAGCTTGGCAAGTGTACCAGGCCTGGATGGAGGGAACAGAAAACTGTAACAATTGCTGAAAAACTTTCCTTTAAAACCAAAACCAAACTCACACCCCCATATTTTTATCTCCACAGTTGATGAGACGAGAACAGCCAACAGAAAATTTGTGAGATTTCACTAAAAACATGATGCTCAGTAGGGACAAACCCACTGGGCCAGTTAAGTATGAGAGGGCAGTGGTGGTTTGGAGGTTGGGGCACAGGGGAAATTGAGGTTCAAATCCCACACCCGCGAGGAGCTCCTTGGAAGTTTCAAGAAAGCACTTAATTTTTTGACATCCTGAGCTGTCAGAACCTGCCTCCCCACACAGGGAATGCAGGGAAAACAGCAGCACTGCTCAGGCACTGCCTGAGCACAGCCCCTTCTGCCCTGGATCCCGCTCTGTAAAACGGTGTAAGAGGCATCGTTACGGCAGGGGACATCAGGAGGATAAATATTTGGTGTGTGTAATATACACGTTACACTCTAAGTGTGAGATGAAGAACAGGGGGCACAGAAATATCTAATGCTGTAGATTAAGATACGTTTCATGCCATTGAGGAAAGGCAGTCCCGACCACCTCTCCTCTCATCACTCCATCCCATTGCCACCACAGGTGCTGCGTGGCCACGTGCCGAACTGCATTTCCTCATAAATGGGTTGGTTAAATCCAGGTCAGATCCCTGGATCGCTTGACCAAATAGCTGCAGAAATGCTTGTACTGCCATAACAGGAGAACAAGGGATGGGAGTGGGGAAGAGAGAGGATGAGACTGCTTCTCTGAGTGGGAGCATTGGGTTAACAAGCCTGCGGGCTAAGGCACACAGATAAAGACAAAATTCTTGAAGGACAAGTTAAGCTACCAAAAGGAGTTTGCTCTAAACCAGCTCCCCCAATGCAGGCAATTCGATCCCAAGCCAGCCGTGCTGGAAATGGAGAAGCCAGAGGGCTTCACTCACCTGGATGAGGGACACAGTGCCATCAGGGTTACTGAAGGTTTGCACCACTGTCTGCGACGGCACCAGGTGCGCTATACTGTGCGTGGTCGTAGTCTGCTGCTGCGTCTGCTGGTCCTCAAACGCGTAGAGCAGGTCTTCACGCCCATGCTGCTTGTAGCAGTTCTTCACGATGGTCCGCAACGCTTGGGTCCACGACACCTACCAGTAGAATCAAAGAAGCGAAGAGTCAGCGTAAAGAAATTTTCCGAACAACTGCAGTGCTGCCACGGCTGTGGTTTGCACGTTTACCTTTGCTGGCTTTTATTGGGCGGTTTTCAAGAAATTCTCAAACAAACGAAAGGCCCCAATACCTAATCCCTCTCTCCTCATCCCTTCCGTTCCCCCAGACTCAGAAATCACCCTGGAGGGCTATTGCATTGCTGTGTACCGATACAGAACAAGCACATCTGGCCAAGGCAAAGGGAAACTTCTCACTGAAATCTGTTTCACCAGCTTTCACGGAATTTTAATTAAGGGATTGGGGCAAACAAGTAGAAAACTATCCCCACCAAGGAAAGCACCAAGTGCCACAGCATTACTTCCAGCCTCACTAGGCATCCCTCCCCATCCAACCAGACCTACATCAGCCTGCACAAGTCCTGCCCCTTGCGCACCCTGATCTCTTTCTTTGATTATCTTTGTGACGGGTTGGTAGAAACTTCACCTGCATGCAGGATCCATGGCCGTAACTGATACCCAAGACCTTTTCACCCAGTTCTCCTTTTTTCCTGGCTCTGCTGCACATCCTTGACCAACTCCCTTTAAGTACAAAGGTTCCTGCTGCTCAGGATGGGACAGTATCCCTTCAAAGGCTTCAAGAGCCCGTGATACCGACTCTACGGTAAGTGACCCGCATACTTGGAGAGTAGACTTGTCTTAGGCAGGCAGCCCTGGGAGATACACACCCGCTGCTTCTGTTCCTCCGTGCGGACATCGCTGCGAACGTTGGCCCATGGAATGTCTTCAGGCCACCAGATGGGCTTGCAGCTTTCCTTGCCCCAGCCTGGTTTCCCACGGCCCGTGGAATACTTCAGCATCTCAGGGATGAAAGCTCGCAGCTGCGCCTGCAACAGACCGCATAAGAGGCTTGAGAGTTTTTTAGGAACTCATATCTCCAGTGGTTTTGAGGTGCATAGCACTAAATTATTACATTTAACTTCTATGGTTGTTGGAGCCATCAACTGGAAGAGGCCTGAATGCCTAAGGAAGATGGACAAATACTTTACCATCTTCTCCCAAGACTCAGCTGAGCACAGCTTAGTAGCACGTGGAAGAGTGAAAACAAAATTAAGTCAACCAATGACAACAATAAGGGACAAACACACACTGTATTAACACACTCCATGGTTCAAAAACTACCACGAAGGGAGCTAGCCAACCTGAAAGGGAGAACAAAAACTGGAGTAACACCAAAAAAAAAAAAAAAAAAAAAATCACACTCAATGTCCCCACAGTGACAGGAACTCAGACATGAGCTGACACACATTTTACAGAGATGCCACAAAGAGGATGGAGCTCCAGTGAGCTGCTCAAATGTAAAAAACACGATCTCACACGTACACTTCTCCAGTCCTGCAGAACATAACACACACTTGACTGATTTCCTGAATCTGTTTTTAACTTTTGCCAGAGTGGGGACACCTTTCAACCTAATTTTACTTTTCTGAGCACCCACCAAAAACTGATCAATTAGTGACCTCCTTTACCAAAGAGAGACAATACCTTAAGAATAGATTTGTAAAGCAAATCAAGCAGATATGCCAATCAAGACAGATATGTCACCAAAAATACAAAACTCACACAGGGTTTTATGACACATTTGGTTTTTGTACCAGGGACTACCTGGAGCCTCAGAAAAAGGCTGGTTCAGCTGCAGAAAGAGAGCAGGAAGAGAAGGAGCGCTCACGACCACGTACGTCAGAGAAAACCACATTAACTTAAAGCTAGATAGCTGCATTTAAGAACACCTCCCTGCATAGAAATCCCCACGATCCTGCTCAAATGACATCTCGTTTCCAGTCTGGACATTGTACCCATTGGCTCCAAGCTGCAAATCAACCCATTTAGAAACTGCCTTTTCCACATTGCCATAGGGAGTATGCTCTCAAATCCCCTGTAACACTGGTCTGACAGAGGAAGGGAGGAATGCTTCAGAAGAGCAGGAGACTGCAGATTGCCCCTGTGGTCTCTGCAAAAAGCCTAAAGCCCCTAAGCACACCACTAAACGCACCGGGGATCGGCAGCGGCTCTTTCACACACTGGACTGCTCCTCAAAGCCAGAGCCCAAGGGGAAGATGGAATGTGGGCCCTAGCTTACACAGCTAAACAGAAAAAATTGAAGTGTGCTTTGGTAAAAAGAAAATAATTTCTTCGCGTGCATGATTTACTGTGTTGTACACAGTTTGCAGCAGTGGCTCTGGACTTTAAAGGCAATAAACATCCAGTATACGTGTGAGTCCGCATCCACCCTAGAAGAACCACCCCTGCTCAGAGAAGCAGCTGCATCTCAGCTCCTCCACCCCACGGACATCCTGAGCCTTCTCAAAGAAGCTGTACCAAACCTCTGAATTATAAATAGAGATACCAAAAACACGCTTTGGTGCCCTTTTTCCCAGCCAAGCCTGTCCCTGGTGCACCTTCCACCGCAGGGCCAACAGTCACTCTGACGTGCTTCAGATTCTCTGGTAGAGGCCCCATTTATTCAAATAAACCTGCTAAGGGCATTGAGTTCTCTGATGCAAAAAAAAACCAGTTAAAAGCTCCTTCCCAGAATCGCTATCTGCAAGCCATGCTCCTTGTTACCAGACGGATTAATAACTGGTCCTAGGGAGTTCAGCGGCTCAAGCTACTCAAGGCACTTGTTAAGGAGGGTTTGCCTTTAATCCACCAGAGACACAATCAGCAGCAGCATTACAACCTGCTCCAGTACAAGGACTTCTCTAATTAGTGCCATAACGAGACCTCAGGCAGCTCACAGGGCTCTGACACGGGCTACAGCACCGAGACAAAGACCCCACGTCTCTCAGGGCACAGCTGGGAGGAACCGGTGCGACCACTTCAGCTGTGGGAGCCACGGTTCTGCTGACTCCATCCACAAACCACCTGAAAAAAAAAATCAAACCTCTGCTAAAAAAAAAAAATAAAACAGCACCACACTCCAGTTTGCACAGTCGTCAGCTCTGGAAAGGGCTCGTATAATCTCTAGTGTGGAGGGTTTGAGAGAAACTATAAGATATGTTTCTTTGACACCCTTCGGTACATAAACTGTCTTCTGAGTTTTAATATTAAGCTCAAGTGTTAGTGGTAGAGAGCTAATCCTGAGATTCTAACATTTGCAGTGGCCCAAAGCAAAGAAAACTGCATTCCAGTGCTGGGAACAACTAGTTGTCCTGTGTGCGAAGCGCCCAGGAATGCTCCAGTCTTAAGGTTTATGCCCTGATAAGCAAAGTGGTTTCTGGAAGGAAGCAAAACCCATGCTGGGAATTTTCTACCTGTCCCCACAGCTCAGCCTCAGGATCTCCAAAAAGTAGCACTTGGGAAAAGCAAAGTCAAGTCCACGCAGGACCTTGGCTGCTCCTCGAAGTGGAAGTGGGCAAAGCAGCAATTGCAGCAAAGCACCCAGGTATTTTGTTCACTGGCCCTTGTTCTTGTAGCAGCCAACTTTAGACTAAATGTTCTTTAAGTTTAAACATCAACTGGAACTTTTTAATCTGAATGTTTAAAAGTTAAGCATCTGTCAAGGCAGCAACCAAGTCGTCGTCATGAATTTCCTGCTACGAAAACCCACATGGCCCTGACCAAACTTCGCAAGGTGTCACTGCTGGGTGCTTTCTGGCAGGCAGGATGAGAGCAGGCTTGCTGCTGTCATAAATTCATCACTGCAAAGACGAGGCGTGGGGTCAGCCTGGGTGTCCTCAACAAGAAGTGGCAGCACTCAGCAGATGCAATAGTTTATGCCCTGCTGCAGGAATCCAACCCAAAGTTAACAACCTGGTCATCAGTGCAAAAAGCAGGAGGTGCTGTGGGTCTCCCCACAGAAGTGTCTGCTCATGGATTTACTCTTTATGCAAATCTTTCTTCTCTTCCACTCTGAAACCATGCTCAAGTCATAAGAGTGAGTAGCTCTAACGTGTCGGAGGGGCACACCAGGCGACCAGGCTGTCCCTCTCGGGATCACCACCTCCTAGCAGAGTTTGGAGATCTGAGCGCTGGACACAACTGCTTGTTCTTGCTGGAAACGAGGCACGATGCACCCTCCGAGCTTAAATGCTGTAAAATCAGGCAGCTGCCTGCATGACAGATCGAAGGATACACTCATCCCTGCATCCAGCATCTTGCAGGACTCGTTACCCTTCCCACTGCTGGAACAACTGTCCAGTGCTGGAGCTCAGATGCACGGGGGACCTGATTCCTAACTCTGGGGTGCTCCCACTGCAAAACAAGGACGTTCCCTCTGCCACATGCCAACGACCAGCTGGGAGAGCAGGAAGGCAGGCTGTCCCCACACCACAACCTCTGACGTGGACCAGAAGGGAGCACCAGGGAGCCTCGCACCCGGGTGATGGGGTCCAGCGCTGCAGGCTCGTCCCTGCCCCTCCGTGGAGAGGATCTGACAGCCACTGACTGATTTTAGTTACCATCTTTTGGTGTTTGGCTTCTCCTACATACAAGCTGTCGCGTACATAAAGATATCTGCTGTTTGTGCTAAAGCTTTTTGCAGGGCAGTATGCAAACAGACATCAAGATGGTTTTTGAGACGCCCAAATAAACTTTGTTGGCTTCTATAAACACACCGCAAATCATAGGGGTATATCAAGTTTAAAACCCATCACATTAAAGGACAAATTACCTGTTCAGGAAAGTATAAACAAATCCTAGTGACCTTGGTGAGAGCTGACTGAAGCACTGACCTCAGCATTACCCAATCTTACTCCTTAATCATATCAGTGAGCAACTGAGAACAAGTTTAGGGGCAAACAGCTCTGACGTATAGCACCAACGTAGCCAAAGTCCATAAAATATCAACATTTCCCTGTGTAATGGACTGCAGGGTAAAAGCCCCACTGCAATATGGTTTTTTTTTCTTCTGCACAGCCGAGGTGGGTGATGCTCTCCATTCGCAAGTTTATAGGAGCATCTTTGCTCAGGCTAGTAAAGGCTTTATTTCCCTCAAGACCACCGGGGAAGCAGAGCAATTAAAAGGAGAGTTATTTTCATCTCCTTGTTGAGGAACTAACACCTCTACCACCTGCCTGCTGACACCTGCAGCTGCTGAAAGCAGAGGCCTCATTTTTCCACTCCCTGTGACACACCTCTTAATTGTGCTGCCCAATTTATATCTATAAATATTTTGGTTATCCATAGGGCTTTGTGCAACTTAGTTGAAAAATCTCATTTCTTGTTAGCAAATACAAAGAACTACACTGGCAGCTCTGGGAATCCAAGGTTCCTACAAAAAGCCAACGGCACCTCTAGCAGTGCAACAGGTTGTAGCGAAGTAGGAGTCAGAGTTATCACGCACGCTCTCAAACGAATATATTTCAAATTGCCATTGTGTCAAAAAAAGAAAAAAACAGCACGGTGGCCTCATCATTTTCAGCATATCTGTGTTTTGTTTCTATTTAAAGTTTGCCCACAAGTCTGGCAAAAACTATAGAGCAGCTGCATGCTTTCAGAAACAAAATCATCTCCTAAGCACTACATGCAGCACCTTACTCCGTGTACGTTTTACAAGATGACAGATCTGCTGGGTTGTGAAAATCCACCCAAGTGGCCTGCAGCCGTTCCAGGATCTCAAAAATTTTTTAGAGACATTTACAAAACATCACCCTGTGTATCATATAGGGAAAACTGAGGCAGTGCAGCACTGGGTGCCCACAACACACGCACACCACAGTGGCTGAGCTAACTGGGACAGCAATGGTTAGCCACACTGGGCACAAAGAGCGTGGACTCTGTCCACAACTCAGGAGAAACCTTCTTCACAAAGCTGTTTTGAGTTACCACATTGCACTAAAAAAAAACAAGGGCTACTCCTAACAAGATGCTTGTTTTACCATAATGCAGTATGACAGGACTTGAAATAAGAGGCTCTACGTCGCTACGCTGTTGCATCAGCAGTTTGCACACTTGCTGACCGAAGGCCCTGCAGAACATGGAGAAGAAAAACCATTGCTCATTTAAGAGGCACAGGAACCCTGGGAACGCAGGAGTGTTGTGCACCGGAAGGATAAAAAAAAAAAAAAAAAAAAAAAAAAAGCCCTGCCAGCAGCTAGTGGCTCAGACAGGAGAGCTGCTTCACATGTGGAAATGCAGAGCAATCAAACCCCAGGGGTAACCAGGCTCAGCCAAATCTTTGTTCAAGGTTTCCTGAAGACCAAGGCCATGCCATGTTTGGAAGAAAAAAGCCAACCTTACTTTTAGCTCAACATGAAAAGCATTAGCATTTTATCCACCGAATTCTATAGATATTGGTATTTTATCCATAAAATAGAATCAGAAAACACTTAAGCAACCTTTGATGTTAAAAATATTTAATTTCCAATTCTACCACAAAAATAAACAATATGCATTATAAATCCAGCTGAAGGCTTCTCTGAAGTGAGAGCCTGTCACTTTTATTGCTGCTTGGATGACACGTGCAACATTAACAGCCAAACAGTCGATAGATCTTTTTATTGGCCCTTTTATATGTGCACATACTCCGCGCACCACAAACCAGAGAAGTTTCTCAGATGTGTTACTGCATTGCAACAACCTCCCGTCCTGATCTCATTCATCCACACTCACTTCTCTCTCTCATTTCTTTCCAGCACTCCACCAGCAACAGCTCATTGTCTTTGCTCCTTCCTCAGAGCCCACATGCTGTGGGTACGGGCGGCTCCGGCTTCACTACTCACACCATGTCAGGATGGAGTTCCTCTACCTGAGCAAATCTCCACATACATGTCTCCTCCTCCTTGTTTTAACCCCATGGCACTACTTCTCTCCCTGTTAACTCAGCTTAATTACTACAATGTTGAGGCCACAAAAAAGTCAGATAAACACAAGCATTTTGTTTGCCAATGCAAACGAACTCAGAGTTACATACCTGTGATCTTTTGGTGGTCTCTCATTTTACTTTAAAAGTAAAATGTTTCAGCTTTTCACTTTCACATTTCCATGGGAAACTGTTAATGATACAAAACAAAAGCTGCCTGGGAACAGCTTTTGCAGACACCACCTTTCACAGTGGCTTAAAAATCTAGCAACTATGTTTTGTTTTATGTTGTCATGGATTAGGAACATGATCTATTATCAGCCAAGGCACAGTAGATTTCTTTGTAAAATTTTATTAGAAGTGTGAGCTTGTCTGATTCCACCTAAGTAATGGAAATGGTGTTTTGACCAGAACGTGATCTTTCTGCAGAGCACAGAGGAAATCCCCACATCTTTGCTCTACTACAACACCTCTTTGTATGTTACCCAAAGCCTCTGACCTCTCCATCTTGCTACTCCCTTTGAAGAAACCAGCTTTCAGAATTTAAAATTTGTTGCGGTGCATCAGACTGAGCGTATCCAGAGCTGCCTGCAAAACACACCTGCCTGCATTCAGGTCCTGCACCCCAGGGGAAGAAGATTTCCCTATAAATGATCCCTCCCACACCAAGGAAGCTTCCCTGGGACCGGGGGGTGTCTCCTCCACTTTCTCCCAGCGATAAGGAGGTCAGCAAAGTGCTGGACCTGGAGATAAAGGGAGTCCCTCGCATGCCTAGGTCAGACGACTCCCTGTATCCATCAGAAGCATTTCATTCGGGGTCTGATCTGGAGTTAAAACCACTGGCAAGCTCTCCTCTGCTCCAATCCACAGCAGAAAACAGAGGAGGGAAGCAAGTAGAGCACACAAGAAAGGTCCAAAGAGCATAAGCCAAAACAGTACTCCACAAGCGACCTTCCTGATCTCAGCACCTAAAAATTACTGTGAAGTGCAGAATAAATATCTTCCCTGTTCATAGTTTATGGGAGGTGACAAAAACAGCTTAATGGGGAACACTCCCAGCAGCCTGAGCTCTACTCCTTAGCAGCATTTCTACTGCTTCACGTAGAAAAGAAGCACCAATAACAAAGCTTCACATCTAACTACTATCTGAGCTGTTGCAGTCCCCCCTGGGAAAGAGGAGATCAAACGCATCCCCTGGAGACGCAGCCATAAGCTCCACTGCAAAATAAAAGGATGTGACTGCAAGATGCCAAATCTCTCTCTCTTTTTCTCTGTGGTTCTGCCACGTCTGGCTGCTTACCTGGGTCATCTTGTCCACCGAGACGGGAATGCCGTCGATGGTGAGGGGTGGTAACTCGGAGTTAACCTCCTGAGGCGCAGGAGCGTGCTCCGCTAGTGCGGACTCCAGGTCTTCCAGAATCATGCTCTTGTACTTGCGTACCTGTGGGGAATCGTTAAGCTCGGGTAAACAAGGTAAGGAGCACCAGGAGAGGCGAGGGCAAGGACGCAGGGCCAGCCGCCTTCCCCAAGGTGCTGCAGAACAGAAGGAGCAAACAACGCCACAGCTGGCAAGAAAAAAAAAATACCCACGGGCCCCAAAGACCTGGCCATATCGAAAGGCTGATGATGAAACATCAAGTAACACTGGCAAGTGGAAGTATTTACAGGATTAAAAGGAAAGTTCTGAAGCAAGACTCACCGTGGTCAGGGTCTGCTCCATTTACTGTCTGGCCTAGCAACAAGTGCAAGCACTGACTGTCAATCTGAGTTCAGACACATCACTGCCTGCTCCCTCTCATTTTTAGTCCAGGATATTGAACCCTGGTGAGATGTGCTAGGCAACCATTCATGCAACAAAGACAAGACCTCGGTGCTACCCTTGTGTCCACACAATCTCAACTCCTGTTTCCAGGGTTTTAATCATAACCTTCAGCTCACTACCAGACTTGCAAGGCTGCCTTGAGCAGAATGAAACCTGCAGAGGCGAGCAATTTATGACGCAGCTTTTCCTAGAGACACCTACCACGTTCTCCAAGGGTGCAGCACCGAATACTTTAAAGACAGGATTGGGTTTGGAGGGTGAGATGCACAGAACAATGGCCTGCTGCCCCACTCTGGTGGTGTACTCATCCAGCGTGGCTCGGAGCTTCCTGGAACGGAGGCATAAAACAGTGAACAGGTTATCAGTTGAAAGCTCTATAGAAACATAACCCTTTGCATTGTAAACTCTCTTTCTTAATGCTACCCATTCACAAACCAGGTGAAAAACGGAGCCCCAGCTGGTCAGATTAGCCACATAAACCACTTCTTCCTCCACTCCCGCAGGCCTGCTGCGCTCCCTGCAGTCAGCCAGCAGCTCAAATATCAATTATTCTCCCTTCTCTCCTTTTTCCATTGATGTAAAAAGTAGAGAAATCACCAGAGCAGCAAAGCTAGGACAGCAAGAGTCTGCATGTCCGCTCTGTAACTAAGTGTATTAGCAATACAAAACTTCTAAGGTAAAGAACTCAAATGATACGATAAAAGAGGACTGCAAACACAGGTTATTTTACATCCAGCCTCATAACAGTGCATTGCAATCCTCTAAGTACTAAAGTCCTGCTCAAACCAGAACTGTAAGAATTCAACCTACAACTACAGGAAAGGCAAGAATCAGCAATATTGCAACAGCTCAGCACAGGAAACCCAGGTATTCAGACACCTGACACATCAGCAAGTCCCTCTGGAACAATCTCTCTGCAGGAAAATAATGCTCCATCATATATTTTCCACCTCTTACTCATTTTAAGCAATGCAAGAGAATGTGTCAGAAATGTTGGTAGAAACTCAAAGCAAAAGAGAAGTAGAGGTTATCACCAGATTACTTGAACACTGCCATAAGGTGACAGCTTAGTATCTGCCTTGGTCATTTCAGAACCTGCTGTTAGCAGCAGACAGGCTGCCAAAAAGCACCAACACCACCACCAGCTACGCAGAGATCCCAGAATCAGAAGTTGTAACTTCCCACTTGATTCACAGTGGTGTAAAAATCAAGCACAAATGCGTTAAATTGATCAGAATGCAAAAAAATGATGCATTTTGTTGGTATCTTTCATGTAATAAAATGAAGTAGCTGCATGAAGGGAGAAGAAATAATTCCTTTACAGAGGAGTTTCTTTAAAAAGATATCGTTCATATTTCAAGGGAGAAAAGAATTTGCTCTTCAGAAATGTTGCAATAAACACAGCTGAGTCAGCAGAGTCAGGAAAAACAGAATAAAGCTATAAAAGAAAGGGAAAGCACTCCCAGGGAATATTATTTAACACTAACTCTGCTCCACCTCGTTCCAGTTTGATCATGTACAAAGGGTGTTGTGGGACTCAACAGATGAGTAAGCAGAATGAGGAAAGCAACTTAATTTCTCACCAACTTTACAAGAGTTGGACTAGGAGAGAGGGGAGAAAAGGCAAAGCTCTGGCCATCGCTCCTTCAGTACATTAAATGTGCACGCAGGAGGAAGTCAGCAAGAAACGGAGCGACAAATACTCCAGCTCTTCTGACACAACCCAATCAAATCTAAAACAGTTTAAAAAGAAAAAATTGCTTTGTTCCAAAACCTAGCAAATAGTACCGGCCAATATTTACTAAGGTTTCCGGAGGATGGAATCGCGGGTGATCGCTCCGGGCTGGCGGAAAGCCTGCGCAGCCACTTCAGCACCAGTGCTCCTAGGTGGCCATCAGGCGGGCAGACAGCCTCAGAGCACCTGGAATGCAGCACCTGAAGGGCGGCAGAAGTTTGGTGCCTACAGAGCAAGCTCCTAAAGCCAAAGAAAGTGCTTCAGCTCTGCCAGGCATCTCGCCTCGATTATTCTCCTCCAACACTGCGCACTAGAGCCTGGGTCAGTCTTCAGTGTGGAGCTCACATAACAGGCTCGGCTGGCAAAGGAAATTCAGGTACACACACACCGGATTTATTCACAGGATCATTTCATAATGCAGAAAAGGCTTTTTCATTAGGTAGGTAAGTCCTTCGTGTCACTGCAGAGCTGGGATATGGCTGTAGCTCCAGATTCTCAGGCCAGCCACTGTTAAAGCCACTCTGAATACCTTGCAAGGCAATGTTCCCATGACAGATTTAACTTGTGACTAGCTGGGGTTAAAACAGAATTGTGGCTCCCACTGGAATGGCCGTGTCAATCCCAGTGATTGTAATATCCCACTAAAGATGAGCAGAGCAGCAATTTGACCTGTTTCTGCAAACCAAAACATAGTTCTCGGGTTCCAGAAAAGGTGCCCCCCAAAAAAATCCCAAACTGGGCAACTTCTGGACAGCACACGGTCTCACTACGCACGGCACTGGAGGCAGACTGAGGACGCAGACCGAGGTGTTGGAGTGCAGGCAGGAGTCCTTACCGCAACAAACGTGTCTGCTGTCTCTTGCGGATCGATGGGTTGGATTCAAAAACGTGTGGTCGCTTTCGTTTTTTACCTGTTGCCACAGCAGCAGCTGCTGCCATCCCCACAGGGCCTGGAAATCAAACCACAAAGGGTGAATTGGCACACACAGCTCAGGAACTGGCCAGAAAGGACATTGCCATTGCCCTCCTCCTGCCAGGGATGGGTCCCAGGGGCTCAGCTCAAGGGCCTTATCAACCGACCAGTGACCCAAATTCCCCACTGAGCTCCCCAGCAGCCGGGATCCCTCCTCTCTGGCATCGGAGAGGTGTATCAAAAGGCTCCATTCTCCAGTCTGGCAAGTCTCAGCTCAGTCCCAAGTGAAAAAAAAAAAAAAAAAAAAAAAAATCACATATTTCAGTCCAGAGCTTTCCTTACAATCACATAATTACATATTTCATCTTCTAAATGTACTGAAAAACTCTCAAGTACACCCAGACTTTACATAACTGACTGCAATTGAGGAGATCGTGGTGGCACGGGAGAGGAGACCAGACTAGGTACAACACCATAAATCCTGGTTGGACACCTCAACTACAGCATCAGGAGCCCGAGGCTTTCCCCGAGGATTAAGGACCAGTTCTAATGGGAAAGAAATTGAAAATCCAGGCTTCCCAGCAGCATTCAACCACAGCCCCCTGAAGAATAGTGGGGACCACGGCTATTGCTATTGCTTTTGTGGCCAAACTCTGGGCACAGAGTCTCTGTAAGGGGAAGTTTCATTCAGTTAGCTGGAAGTAAACCAAGCGACGGGCAGTGGATTGTGCTTCTGTTGGTGATCTCCAGGGTCAGAGTCAAAAAGCCCTTGAGCCTGCATTAGACCCCACACTTGCCTTTGACTCCTGAGTAGACCTCAGTTGCTCTGTGTGTAGTTTCTCCATGTGTCAGCAGTGAAAGGTCACACCAGGGGTCATAAAAACCACTATGGTTTTGTGTTTAACAAAGATGCAGCTACTGGATCAGGAAGTTCTAAGCTACCAATCAGTGAAAGCTGGTAGATGATAATGAAAGTAGCATCTGATGATATGTTTTCTCTAGGCAGCTGCTCTGGGAGAGGGGATGCTGTAACGGACAGAGCTCCAGGTGACACTACAGAGCTAGGTTTTGTTAATCAGTAATGAACTACCGGAGCGCTACCCAGGGCGGGCACAGCAAGCACTGCTGCATACTGCTCCAACCATCCCGTGCTTGTGAAAAAAAAAAGAATTAAAACGGTGACTTCTGGGGGACTGGCAAAAAATTTGCTACGGAGAAGCGAGGAAGGGCTACACTGGGCTGTCAGGCAAGAATTGGGCTGGACGTGCCAGTCCATGCCACGAACTGCAGCCACCTGTCCCAGGGAAGTGGGACAGCTCCTGCCTTGGGGTGCAGCCCCCGTAGCGGGAGGGCTCGCAGGCAGGCGGGAGCCACCAGCAGCCCCTCCTGCATCCACCACCTGGGACTGAAAAACTTGTGCGCTAGAAGGGAAGGGGGAAGGAAAAAATCCTGCAGGAGCTGAGGTTGGAAAATTAATAAGCAATGGGCATGGTGGGATGCTCAGTGGGGTGGTGGCACTTCACAGGTGTGGTCAAGCACATCAAGATAAAGTCTGATAAGGAGTCAGGCAAGTCTATGAGTGCTTATTTATCACTGCATTTTTCTGCTAGTGAGGTAAAGCCCTTACAAGGCAAATCTAGAGGACATTTAGCAGGGGCTTCACTGGAAGGAGTTGGTGATTCTGAAATACTTTCCCAGTCCAGATATGCCAGGACCCTTTGTGGCATCTCCTTGGGAGAAGCCTAGCATGTGAGCTCCCTGGCTAAGCAGGGTTGGGTAGCACTCCTGGGTTATTTTTGCTGTTGTTTATATGGGCCTGAAATAAGCTTGCTCTTTGACATATTCAGTATTTTAGTTTCATTTCCTGAGGTAGCACTTACCAGGGGCCTTTTTTTAATGGTACAAACCAGTCTCTTACTCCCATTACTTCTACATTACACACAAATAAAGCGATGCAAGATTCAAGCAGCGGGCAGACCTTGCGAAGAAGCGCTATTAAAGCCAGGGCAATAAAGAAGCATTCGGAGCACCCCGTGGGGTGACAAGATCTCCCGCCAACCTCTGCACAAACGCAGCGTTCCCGCTGACTTTACCTGCCGCAGCCAGGTGGGCAGTGACCTCGTCGGCAGCCGTGGAGTTGAGGATGTCAGAGTCATCGTAGGAGGTGTCCTCCGGCGAAGACGGCGAGTCTTCGTCCGCACTCAGCATGCTGTGCTCTGTGTAGGTGGCCACATGGACCTGCTGCACCTGCTGGGCCACTGCGTGGGCCTCAATGGTGGCCATGTGCTCTGTTTGGGTCACTCCGTGTTCTTCCATTAATAGCTACTGGCAGAGGAGACAAAAATCACAGGAAGGGGTTGCTGACACTGATGCACCGGTAAGGGAGGGCAGCCAAAGGTTTCTGAGCCAGCTAGGTGAGCAGGCCACGACCAAGAGGGAACAAGAGATTACCTCCCCCAGTGGCTGTGGTCTTCTCCGAGGGGGAAATAACAAGTGCACCTGGATCCAGGAGAGAAACTTAAAAGTTTAAGAGCTTTGGAAAATCCATACTTTCAAACAACACGGCATAGCACCCAGAGGTAGTCATCTTTGCTGGAGGAAATGTCTTTAAGGACCTTGTAGCCTTGAGATTATGTGCCCTGCCCACCCCCCACCTACACACATATTAAGAGACCTGATCAAACCTGGAACTTATATTTGCCACTTTGAGATCTAGCTTCCAGGGAAGATGCTCAAGGGCAACACACAATCTCTAACCATCCAACCTCAATAGCTCAGGACACAACTGAGGATGCTGGTACAGAAGTTTACTGGCAGCAAGTTGTGTTCTACAGACCACTTTTGTTGCCTTACTTGGTTAGAGTCCGGAAGCAGGCAAAATCATTACAACCCAAGCACAAAATATAAAGCATATTTATTTAATGCATCTAGTGGTAAACCACTGAGCAAAGTAGTGTCTTACGTAGTCAGCCGGGCACTGGAACACACACCATGAACATAAATCTGTGCAGAAGGAACAAGACAGGACATATGCAGATATTTTCAGTGTGTATCTACCATACATTTGTGGAAAAGGAAAAGCACACCCTTATGATATTTCCAGACTACGTTAGAAGAATTAGGACATCAACCCTCAAGAACAGATTCCCCAAAACCCTCAGGGCAAACAGCAGAAGGAAAGAGATGACCAGCTGTAGGGAACAATAAAGTAGACCCAGCAAATTCTGACCCCATAAGTATAACCACTGAATTTCAAGTTCTTGATTGACATCCTCTTCATAGAAACCTGTTCAGCTTGTCAGGAGGAGAGAGCTAGGGGCATGAACACCGACCACAGAGGAGTCTCAGATACATGGCTGGGTAACTGCTCACTGAACTCAGACAAGCCATGCCATCACATGCATCTTCGTCCTTCAAAAGCTTTCACTAGTTTCTATTATCGATATCGTGCCATAAATACAAGGCACTTTGCAAATGATCAACATGACAAAAACCTCAGCCTGGCAAAATAATCACCAGGCTTCTACTAATCATAAAAATCAACATCCTAATGACCAAACCATGGAACACCATGGCAGTGGGACACTGGGACCCCGATCAGGGGTAAGCACTTTGTCAGGAGGGTTACTCTGACCAGACTAACCAATAGTCATACACAACTAATTGAGACACTGCAAGAGAGATTATTACAAAGGTGGGATGCCCCATGGAAGAAATGGAGAAGAACGGAGGACACCTCAGTTGAAGCTGCTAACATGTGGGCAAACAGGAACACAAGATTAGGTGGGAAGCAGAAGGAGGTTAAAGGAGAGGACCAGAGTCTTGCTCTGAATTCAGGAGAGAATATGCAGGGACAAGGCATGACCAAGGCTGTGGAGAAAGAAATATTTTTTGCAGCAGCATTTTAAGCAGCAGAAGCTCAGAAGCAAGGAAGTGGTGGCCATAATCCAGACAACAAATGGAAGGAAAGGTAGGGTGGGGAGTGACTGGTATTTAGATACACTTAATATTGCCTCAAATCTACTGATCAAAGAGCTGAAATATGACAGATTTTTCTTTTTTTCCCCCCATCACCAGCTGGTTTCTAAAGGCTTGTTTCCACATGCCTCAAAACATCTTCTGCAAATCAGTGAACTGAACATTGTGGGCATTTATAAAACAGATCTTCCAAAGGCAGTTCCAACTTCAAGATACCCAAAAGAGGGATGTAATTATTTTAGAGAGTCCTGTCCTCAAAGCAGGACCTATTTTCCACATTTTACTTAAGCACATCTGGTTTTACAGGAAAGAAAAGCTGCGTCTCAAACACAAAGAAAATATTCCCCGCACAGCGCTAAGAGAAAGCTTCCCGTTCAAATGACAGTGTTGAACAGGGGATGAGACAAAGTTTCTGGTGTAGCAGCAGGACCAAAATATTGAAAGGAGACTTGAAATGAGCCAAAGAAGCCCAGTGAATACAAAGTCAAAGCACTCATTACCGTGCATGCGTTATAACAACCAAACCTTGTTAGTCCTGCCCTACTTCAGCCACACAGAGGGTGGTTGCAATCCATCACCTCACCTCGACTTGCCCAGCCAGCCGAGACGTCTGCAAACGTTGTGTTACCCCTGAAATGGCTGTGGGCAGTCAGACAGCCACCCTCTTGCTCAACAGATGGAAGTTTCCCAACCACCACATCTTAGGGCTCAGGATGAATTAGCTCAACGTAGTATTCACTTGCAAAATGAATTCCTTCCTTTTGCAGACACGGAGGCCTTGGTCTTTCTTGAGAAGCCAAATGCGACCTAGCCACTTCGGCATGGTTTCTCATGTACCAATACAAAGAAATCCAGGTGCGTCTTTCCAAAGCGTTACTGACTTTTCCAAAAGGACAAAGCCAAACTCCAAAGCACTTTACCCCTCTCAACTCTGTCAGGTTAACTGACAACTCAGACCTTAGAGGCCAAGCTCCTTGGGAAGTACCAGCCTCCCTCCGCTGACCAGAGAGGGAGGCCACAGCAACCTGCCTTCTAACACAGACATCGTGGGTTTGTAGCTACCACACAAAAAAAAAAGGGTCCAGATTGCAGAATCCCTTTATTTTCCATGTCTGCCTACAGCTGACCTCTCCAATGCTATACACACTTCTAGTAAGGATCACATCAAATCAGCGGCTTCTACTGAGAGACCACAGTTTCCACACGTAACACCAACTTCACTGTGGAGCGTCAAACCACCTCCGTTAATCTTGTCATCTGCATGGGGGATAGAAGCAGAAGGGAACTATGTATTTAGGCAGTGGATTTTCATCCACGAGTTGCCAACAGTGCTCACAAGCACAGAAATATTCCAAATGGTAGGGTGATATTGGTTTGATGCTTGTTTGGTTGCCCCAGCTCGGGAGAGTCAGTCTGGTTATAACCAGGGAGCTGTACACCCAACTGAGATGGAAGGACGGACTTGGTCACATACTTAATTATGCAGCTGGCTGGTGCGTGACAGAGGGAAGCATGGTCTAGAGGCTAAAACAAAGAAACAAGTATCAGGATATGGGTCCAGTACTGGAAGCTGCCCAGGTACTAAGATGACTGCGGCACTAGAATCACCCTCTGTACTGGGCAGGCTGGGGAAGAGGCACATCTCCCATATTTACCAATTTGTCACAAAAAAGGGAGGGGTTTTTATCCATGAAATACTAACAGACCCCCTAAAAGTTCCTAAATAGTATGGACGTGAAAGTAAATTGAATCTGGACAACAAACAGATGTTTTCAAACTTCTGCCTTCTAGCCAGGCATGTGCCAGAGGAACTCATGCCTGCGGGACAGCAGAAGTGCTGCTGTGAGACTGTTGCGAACCTCTTGAGGTTACAGCTACAGTCAAATCACCTTCAAACTCACAATCCTTCCTAAAAGGCTGCTAGAGTTAGAGGTTGCTGTTGTCCGACCCTGTTTACAACACAGATTGTAACATTAGAACCATCCAAAAATAGCAGCAATTCAGATACCACCAGTAAGGAAGGGACTAAGATGCTGAGGTACACTGAAGCAAACTGAAAACTTTTGGTTGAAAAGAAATTCAGCTGTAATCTCCTTCCAAGGAATTTATTTTGCCATCACCATAGAAAAATGGTCGAGGAATATGGAGAAAAAAAAAAAAAAAAAAAAGGCAGCAAGCATCTCGGTAGGCCAGGCCTTTCCCAGGCTACTGTGCTTTTTCTGAAAAGGTACTGCTGCTCTTCTCCATGCAGCAATACAGTATTAAGTATTTTCCATTAGCACAAAAAATTTATGCATCCACAGAAAAATATGATCAGACCATAACTGACAAAGCGTAGTAACCTTTTAGCTCATCAGGAGACAAGACTGCAAGACTTGCAGGATGCTTCCAGTACTGCAATACTGCTGCCTTTGAAAAGAAACCTGCATGAATCAAGAGGCAGTCTACACCCAATGCCACTAAAAACAATGATTTTTTTATAAATAAAATTCAGAGATGACTAAAACTATGCATTTCTGAGTCAGCAAGTGGACAGCTGGGTAAGCAACATCAATACTCTTCATGAGCAACCATGCAAATTTAAACACACGTGCATTTGATACAGTTTTTACTGGTACACTTCCTGCTTCAGTGCGCAGAGCCTGGTTGAATTTTGGCATTTTTGAAACAGTTATCTATAAGCAATGACTGGGATAATAAACAGTGAGGTCATCATGTTTATTTAGAGATGAAGTCCACTTGATTCAGACAAGGTCTAACAACCACTGATCTGCTATGAACTCTTTCCTTTTTACAACTCCTCCTTTCCTAAGGAGTCCAAGGTACTTGCTGCAATGTATGAAGGTCACTTGCTTCCTCGGTGACACTATTACATTTCCTCACTCGTTTTCCTTCCTGCCTGCATAAACGTAGGTATAAGCTGGGAAAAAGGCAATAAACTACTACAGTTCTTCAATAAATGGTGCAGCCTGCCCAACTGTGCACACACCACCACCACCAGCTCTAGTAATTAATTTTCAGGTTGTAACTTGGATTAATTCTAGTTTAACCTGACAGCTGGCTTCACTCAGTGCAGGTTTTCTACTTTTCCAACTTCTGTGTTGTTTTCATACGGGCACGTTTTCCTTCCAGAAAATTTCCAAATGCCTGCAGAATCATACACTGAAGGGCACCGAGCCTTATCTTTCAGTGTTGAAACTTTTGGGAGTTATTCATATATTCAAATTATTCCCAAAGGATTCCTGACACAAGTCAGGCTCAGTGGGCAGACACCCTGACTGGCAGATTCTGCTGGTGATTACCAACCTGTTGATACTGTTGCCCCAGCAGCAAAGCATCTTTGTTATGCGTCCAAAGGGTCTGCACTTGGATTTGAACAGGGATTCAGGCACAGGGGATGAAAGGAAAGTCGTCCTTGATCAATTTTAGAGATGAGCATTCTTCATTCCAAAAAAAGGGAGTTTATTACTGTTTTCCTTCAGAAATCCGAACAGTTTCGGGTATAAGGAAACCCTAATGATATGATGATGACTGCAAAGACATTTCCTGGTAGTTGTAGCTCAGTCCAGAAGCCTTGGATGACAGCCAGAAGTATTTTTAAAGTCATTTAAAGTGCTTAAAAAAATATGAGGATAAAGTCCCTCTCATCACACAGTGCAGTTGCTTTATGACTGTGTCAGAGGTTCCTTTGATGTACTGTCAACTATGATCAATGACTGTTGACACCATCACTGGAAGAATACCAGATGCAGGAGAAGCAAAGCAAACGAAAATAGCAGAAGCTGTACCATTCAAACCAGCAGAAAACAACAGAAACTGAACAGAAACATAAATTCCACATTAAATTTAAAACCACATGGATTAAAATGAAGGTCTTGTCTGCTCAATGTAATCTGTGGTATGAATGTAAAGATATAACCCCATCGATACAAAACCATGTGGGATATCCCACTGCAGAAACTGCCCTCTGCCACCACCATCTAGTTTAATGTTGCTTCACGTCTGCTTTAAACTAAGCCAAAAATAAAATGTCCACACCAGAAAAAATGATGAGGTACAC